CTTTAGAAAACTGCAACGTCAGCCCAGACAGTTGGAATGCAGAGGGATTGCTGGGCCTGCAACATAGGGTAACATGCTCGTCTGAAGCAACTTGGAGCGTTGGGATCTGCTAGGCCCACCTCCGTAGAACACGTAGAACTGAATGTACCAGAACTCCGATTTGTTGTTTCCGAGGCAGAGCCAGCTCTGCACATTTGCCGAGTAGTGTATTTGACAGGTGCCGAGAAAGGTTTTCGGTCCAGGGTGCTAACCGCTAACCAAAATGAAAATGTGTCTCCACACCCACGTGAGCAAGTATCTCATCTTATCATTACCGCCACAACTTTACCACGTGTGCGTCCAGAACCCAATCGCCGTGAAACACCATGTTTTCAGGAGGCAAAAGCTTGCAGCGACACGCCTCCGGAGCTTTTGCATTCCCGCTGAGGCGCATGTTCTCCTGGTCTCGTTGGGTTTCGTTGGGTGAAGTCAGTCTGCCACCCTATTCCACGAACCTTTAACCCTGACCCTATGTCCTCTGTCAGCCGCCCCAGGATCTCCTCTCAGAGGAGGGCTTATCGCAAGCTCTCAAGGGTTCAAAGCCGGCCCCAGTGAACAGCATTTATTGAACATGGCGCTACGTCGCTTCCAGGTGTGTTGGCAGGATTGCCAGGTCTACGGGGCTGCCGCTACAGATTACTAAAGATTACAAACACTTCTTTCAAGATTTCCCTCAGGGCCTTAGGATTTCTGATAATGCTTAGACTATGCAAAGCGACGGCCTAGTCCGAAAGTGTGGAGGTGTTTACCGTTGCAACGAAAATCTAGCTCCCGACGACTTAGCCAGGCTCAAGCAGACCCAATCACACCACGTCTGCTGCTCAGACGACGACGACGACTGCTAATGCGACCGCTAGAAACAGTCGTGCTCCGAATTGCCATAAAATCACCCTAAACCGCTAAACCCTAATCCCCAAAACCCGAGCCTTTACCAACGTCATGACGAACTCTCTGCTTTCTGGACCCTGCCTCCGCCGAGACCAAGCGCTCCTCAAACCGGGAGCGCTGAGCCTTGGTTTCAGGTTCTGCGCTGTAGGACTCAACTGGTTTTGGGTTTCCAGAAACTTTAAGACTCGAGGGCTCAAGGTGCGGGCTTCTACTCGAGTCCAGCGAGCCTCACACAATAAAGATGTGAGGCGTGTCCAAACATCAACTGAAGCTGCCCAAGTTGAAGGGAAGTTACTCTCCCTCTCTCCCTGTCCCTGTCTGTCTGTCTGTCTGTCTGTCTGTCTGTCTCTCTGTGTCTTCTATGTCTGCCTGCCTGCCTGCCTGTCTGTTTGTCTCGCTGTCTCTCTCCTACCATATACCCCATATATATATATATATACATATATACATATATATATATATGTAGAGTGTATTATGCACATATTGACATTAATGTTAGTGTCGATGCTAATAAGAGTATGCCCTTAATATGGCCTCAAGGAAGATTAGTATCAGTATTAAACTCAATGGTGAAATTTTTGAGTTATTCATCTATGCATACTCATGGACGGAGTAAAGGTGTTGGTCCTCTGAAGACTTGCCACCTCGGGGCTTCAGGAATAAAACTCTGCCTGCGCTAAATCCTGAAAACCCCCAACTGCCCCCTAAACCTAAAATCCCAACTCCCGACTTCAGCGCGGCCTTCTCGCTGTCGAGCTGGGTGCGCAGGTCCTGTTTTTGGCTTAAGTTGAAGAAGCTTTCCTACCCTCGAAGCCCTGAGTCCGGAACCTTTCTAGAAAGAAAACAAAACGAGCTGCAGAGAAAGGCGAGGTCTGCGCATCATGCAATCGAACCTCGTTTGCTTCTGCCGGAGTCGCAAGAATCGTCAGGCGCGTTGGCAACAACAACGACAACTTTGTAACAAGACTCCCGGAAGAGGAGCAGCGTGGCTTGCAACAGCCACCGTCTTGACCCCAAACATCATGGCAATCAGCATGATAGCCCTCGCTATATTCAACAGCAACCACTACAGGAGCAGTAGTCATAACAGCAAAGCCGTTGATAATCGTAATGGCAATCATGTCATAACTGTTACCAGTCGCACGGTCATGGTAGTAGAAATTGTGGCAGCACCGGCCATATGTACATGTCATGAGTTGCAAGCGTACTGACAGGATAACTTTGGGCAGGCTAGGGAAGTTTTTTTGACATGGTGAGCCATCCGAAATGCTTACGATGCCTTCTTCGAGCCTCTCGTATGCAAAGATTTCACTGTCAGGGTTGCTGTGAGGGTTACGAACAGGACGGCTACGACGCCTACGAAGTACAAGAATTTATCCGGTGCAGTCCTGAACCTGGCGGCGGAGTTCGTCCCGGTTCGAGGATAGCGCCTGACGGGATGGCTTTTCTCGTGCATGTTCGAGACATGCACCCACACATCGGCCGCTGGGAGTTTAATTGGAAGCATGTCTGAATAATATAAGTCCTAAGGATTTGGGCAGTGCAGACTTGGGATTCTCAGTGGAACCGGCGAGCCTCAAAGTGCTGAGCTGACTGCAGGGAAGCTTCTACCTGCTCCAGGCTTGCATTCGCGGCTCTGGTGTTACATCCAAGTACAGTAGGCTGCAGCATCATGCTGACTGCGAGACCGAAGCTAAGCCCAGCGCAAGCTTCTCCGTCAAGAAGTGGTTTTCACTTCTCAGCAGATGAACATCACTTCCCGCCGACTCGCCTCAGCCACCGACTCCCCTCAAAGACCCCCCACGCGCTCCCAGCAAATCTGCGAGCGCGCCTGCGCTGAGCCCCGGGGCCTGGCAGCACAAGAAGTGGGGTTTACTACGAGCTCCTTTGACCCAAAATACAACATCTTTTTACATAATTAACCGGTGAGTCATACTACAACGAAAATACGGACTTTAAATTCCTGAGGAACACCCAGTTTAGGGGTTTGGGGGCTTTCCCAAAGCACTCTCAGAAGTGCAGTCAGCTGTCGGAGTCCTCGGGGCTACCAGGCCGATGCTCGATGGACACGGCCTGGTCAGGAGTGAGCTACACTGTACTATACCCTGGTATACTATACCATGGTACAGTATAGTACAGCATAGTATAGTACACCATACTATAGTATAGCATGGTATAGTATAGCATGGTATCCTATACTACGGTATGGTATACTATGGTAAACTGCAATATGCCGTGCTATACTGTACCATATGATTGTACTAGACTCACTCGACTATACCTGTGATGCGAGCAGACACACGAAGCAGTCCGAAACATGCACGGTCACTTCATGGGGAAGGCCTCCGGCACAGGAGCTCCTGGAGAAGAGATGGAGCTGGCAACCATGCCTGGAACCCGGAGACTCCAACATCCCTTGATTAAGGAATATACGTTAACTTATAGTAGGATCCCTTATATGATAGAGTTAAGGAATTTTTCTTAATTTAGGCATATTGAAGGCTCCGGGAAGAGACCCCAAGGACCCCAAACCAGGACAAGAACAACACTGACTCTGCGACCATATAACCCAAGAGTCGTAACACCCTAAACCTCTAAGTCTCTTCATCCACTAAAAATACCCTAAAACGCTTAACGCACCAGATGCACCAGCACCCAAAACCCTGTCTATCACCCTGAAGCCCTGACATTCTAAAACGGGCAGGAACAGAGTCCAGGGCCAAGGAAAACCCTCCGATACGATATAACATAATATCAGAATTTAACATCACATAATTTGGTATAACATGGTATACTAAAAACGCAATACAATATGACATGATATAATATGACATGGTATGATTTAACTGAATGCAACATTACGCGAGGTCACATAAGATAGTACAACATGACATAATCTAACACGCTACACCTTTATTAGTACAATAAGTCGGTGTCGCAGGCTGTGGAAGGCCTTGACTTTGCCCCTGGAGCAGGGCCACCTCAGGAGCGGCTGAAACCAAACTAATTTACTCGGAGTAATACTCGGAGTCATGAAGGGACCTAAATAATGAGAATAGGGCTTTGGGATTATTTTCTATAACTATAATAAAGAACGCCCCAAACCCTTTTCTAATTATTAAGGCCCCTACATTGCAGGGTTCTTGGTGGGTCTTTCGGGCTTCTAGGATGCTGTAAGGGTTAGTGTCAGGGGCCTACACCACTCGAAACCCGTGGCTCGGGTTCTGCCTTCGGGCTATGTAGCCATGAGGTTTAGGGTTTCGGGTTGAGGAATCCGAGACAGGTCAACTGGCTGATGCAGCATATGTGTGTTTCGGCCTGAACCGTAGCAAAACACCGCTGCAACCTTAGAAATGCTGCATGTGGAGAAGGCGCCAACGATACTGCTTGGATTTCGGCGGTCAATGGCAATCACATAATCGTGCGAGCCCTAAGGGAATCGTACTCATAGCAATACCACTATCGCACGAACGAGCCGAAAACGACAGGAAACATGATGACATCGACTTGCAATCGATCTGGTGGTAGAGGTGGTGATGCACCGGGGATCTCGGGGCCGTACGCTCTCCCGCTCCCGCCGCCGAGAATCAGGGATTGGCAGCGTGGGCCTGGGATACATCTTGGAGATTGAACGGTGTCAAAAGCTTTGGTAGGGCTCGGGGGAAGCATCATATGTCATACTATACTGTATATAGAAATGATGCTAAATCAAAATGAAACATATCATACAACAACGGAGCCTCGACAGCTTGGGGCCGCGGCCCATGCATTGCGCTCGGCTGCAAGACCTCCTCTAGGCTCGTGCTCGTCGCCTGCACTTAACATCAGATTGCCGAATTGCCCAAGGTGGGGGCCTTCATAATTGCAATAGGGTTTTGGGGCCCATTATACGATGATTTGAGTGAGGAACCCCCCAAAATGGTATAGGTAATTACTGTATAGAGGCCCCTCGGATAGTCTACAGCAGACGCTGGCTGCCGGGGAGTCTGCTGATCCGGCGACGCGTTCAATGATTCGTTCCTCTTCCCCTTTGAGCGTGAATCCTTCCTTTTTCGCCACGCAGGGCCGGCAGCTTACAAGTCCCTCTTCACTGAACCCAGAAGCTCGAGCGTGCAGGTCTCCACGGCCTTGCCTCGGTTGTCGCGCAGTCAAGAACTGGGGCACTACTTCAGGCACCCCGGAAGTGAGCACGCAGCGTTACAACGACGCTTCGCCCTGCATACGAAATCAGAAAATCTCAAACTGGAGTGTCGGAAGCAATAGCAGGCGTGGCGCACTTCCCAAAGAAGTGAGCGTGGCTGCTGACCACCTTGTCTGCACTGAGGCGCTTCTCCACAGATCTGAGGAACATGGCTGCGACCTTTGCGGCGGCGGTCTTCGCATCTTCCTTCTTCCTGGGTCGGAGAAACATGAAGAATGAACTCCACAGCACAGCAAAATGAACCCAGAGCCGATCAACAATGAGTCGACCACATTTCCGACAAAACAAACCTTACGACAGAATCATTCGCGGCTCTGGCCCACTGATGTTAGCAAGGCGTAGGCTTCGGTATTGTCCTTGACACATGCCTCCTGGTCCTTGGTGCAGCACGCCGCTGCGTCCACCTGTAGGTCGTTCCTGGGCTAGCATGAGCTCTGAAAGCTTGGCTCCAACATGGACTTGAACGAACAGCTGCGCCCTGCCCTCAGGCAATGCAGGTAAGGACTCAAGATAAGCCTAGAATCAGGAACTCCTCCACCCCGTTTTCGCTGACAATTGCACCGATCTTGTCCAGCAAGCAAGCACCAACCTCCTCCTTCTCGTTGCTTGGGGGGCCCTTGAGCAGGTCGCCGTCGAAGAAGTTGTTGTCAAAATCGCCGGCTACGATTTTCGCCACCATGCCGGGCAGAGTGGGATCGGCGGGTTTGTCCGCCTGCACACAGAGCACCCCAGCGAAGGAAAGAAACCATGGCGACGGAAGGCCCATGGCGATGGGATGAGCGGGAGTTTTGGTCTTAACTTGAGCTCTACGCGACTTGGGGCAAGGCCACAGACCACAGCTCTCAGCTCGCATGCATCCTCTGATTCCACCAGCACCAGCCGGATCAGCAAAGCACCTTCTTTGTGCGTCGAGTTGAGCCGGGCACGCCCTCATGACCTAGACTCAGAGAGCTGAGCGAACTCTGACTGAATCTGCTCGGGGCTTTGTAAGACTTCGACAAACAGAATACTGATGCAATGCACACGCAGACTTGGTAATCAGTTTAATTGTGTGAGCTTTTGTCTTTTCAATGAGTCTCTCTGTTTGTACTATTGAATTGGCTTCTCCATGCTACCACATCTACTCAAATTCCATGCATCACCTAGCCCCCTTCTCGACTTCAGTTGCCGTGAGGATGAAAGTGCCGCATGCTCTGCCAACTGTGAACCTCTCTGCCTTACCCACGGCTGCCAGGTGACTGAAACCCTAAATCAAGCAGCCCGTCGTCGCCGGGCGGCGGTCTAAAGAACTTGTCGGGCTCGTCGGGGGTCGCGCCCTCGGGGCCTTCGTTCGCAAGGCTCAGGGCTTCCGCTAGGAGCCCATGAAAATCCCAATGAAGCTTGGACTTCGGCCGGATCCTGAATAAATTCCCAGGCTCTTGGCTTCGGCAGTCCTTCAGCTGTGCTGAGATGCGGCATCTTCCATGCGTCAACCGGGCACAGCAAAAAAAAGGGTCATGATGCAAGTTGATCAGAGTTTCCTGAAAAAAACACAACCACCACCACAATCCAACATGCAGGTCCTCTTGAGCCAGAGCTTCCCAGCTCAGGAAGCTGTGGGACCTCGCAGAGCCCGGAACGTGGCAATACACTACACCACACAACACCACACTACAAGTATGTACTGTATTGCCAGATGAATTCATCAGAATCTGTGTCCTATTATTACAACCTAGAGTCTGCTATGCTGGAAGATGTCCCAAGACAAACATTGAAAGACATTGCTCCTCGAACGTCGCAAGTTGAAAAAACGACACGACATCATGATGCAGCGGTACAGTTACCTGAGCCCGCCACGGACATTCCGGGATAGACCTGTGCCGGGGGCTTTCGAGATTCGGGCTCCAGGTTCCCTTCAATCTTCAGTAGATTCGCTGCAACCGGAGATTGATCCAACCTAAATAGTAATTAAGTACTGAAAGAGGCTCATCTCAGCTCGATTGTTGAACAGCGCCTGGCGGCACCACCCTGCCACGACCATTCCTCCTCCTGCTGCTAATGCTGCTGCGCCTCCCGCTACTACTACTACTACTACTACTACTACTACTACTACTACTTCTACTTCTACTTCTACTTCTACTTCTACTTCTACTACTGCTACTGCTACTGCTACTACTACTACTACTACTCCTACTCCTACTCCTACTCCTACTGCCACTGCCACTGCCACTGCCACTGCTACTGCTACTGCCACTGCTACTGCTGCTACTACTACTACTACTACTACTACTACTACTACTACTACTACTACTAGTAGTTACTACCACTACTACCACCATCACTACTACCACTACTACTACTACTACTACTACTACTACTACTACTACTACTACTACTACTACTACTACTACTACTACTACTACTACTACGACTACCTATGGTGGTACTAACTGGTAACGGTACGATTCACTACTCCTGCAGCTGCTGCTGCTGCTGCTGCTACGAGTACGACGACTGCGACTCTGTCTGCTCACTTCCTGATTCCCGTTCAAGCCAGTTGCTGTCCCAATCAAAACCGCCAAGTTCAGAGCATTGCCAGCCTCGGGAGACTCGCTTGTAGCCGATGTTCCAAGGGCCTGGTGTCGGATGTCTGCAATGGGTTTGCTGTTGAGGTTTGCAGGTTTGGGTTCGGGCTGTACAGTTTAGGCTGATTGGTCTCGGCTGGTCGGTCTGGGTTTCTGGGCTACTCGAATGCCTTAAACACTCTTGCCTTGGTCTGTGACGACGGCACCACTTCTCCACCATGTTCGTTTCAGCCGCTGTTGTCGCATGTACTGCTAGCTGCTAGACCATGTCGGCACCCTAAACCCTAATGACACTTACTGTCATGTTGTAGGACGGTGTGTAAGTGCCGGGTCCCAGCACCATCGCCAGGGCATCAGCTATATCCTGGGGATGCCAAGTCCAACCCAAGCCCGCGAACTGCATCCTTGCTGCTATTAGCTGCTTTTATGAATCGCCTGGCGCTGTGCGCGGACTTCCGCCAAACGCTGTTGGAGGCTGCGCACCTTCGCTCAAAGACAATCAGAGAGGGATATAAAGCCTGCTACGGGTTTCTCTCTTGTTGTGACATCCAGAGCACCCACCATGTAAGCTTGAGTACAAGCTGCAGGAGCTGGAGGCCAATCGTGTCTCAGAGTCAGCTGTCCCAACGTCAATTTACTCAAGCCGTCCGAGCCAGCAGCCTACTGTACTAAACTATGCTATGCTACGCTGCATTATACTATACAACACTATACAACACTATACAACACTACAGCTCACTGTACTATACTGTACTACACGGCACTGTGTCATACCATACCATGCCATGCTATGCTGGAGTGCGCTATACCAGACGATGCTATACTGGACTACACTAGAACGCCGCTTTGGAACAGTGAGGCTGCGAATGTATTCGATGAATCGGAAGCATGTGCGTTTGGGCTCCTCGTCGAGGGTCAGCTCTTCGAACTTGTCTTCGAAAGCACAGGGGCGTATGTGCTGTCGTGAATCGTGGCTTAGTAGTATCGGTGGCAACACTAGTTGGTGGTAGTCGTGGTGCTAGCCGTAGAAGGATGAGGACAAAGGTGTGGGAGTAGGAGTGGAAGTGGAACAGTTGGAGGAGTACGAGCCGGAGTACGAGCATGAGGAGGAGGAGGAGGAGGAGGACGACTAGGATCTGTTGACACTCGCGTAAGTATCACCGACTGGTTGCTCGGATGAGAAGCCTTGCTTGGCTCTGGCTCTGGCATACATGCATACATACGTACATACATACATACCGAAGTATGTATGATGTATTATATACATGTACATGTCTGCATAAGGACTATAAGCTCGACGAATGAAGCACTAGCGTGCTTCCCCCCAACCTTAGGACGGCCACGGCCTGCCCGGAGAAAGCTGGGCCATCCTCCATCTGAAGTGTAGGCGCTCCTGGCACATTAAGAGGAGCTAATAGCTCGGTAATACCCTGCTAGGAAAACGGTTTAGGGTTTGGGGTTAGGGTTTAATACTAGTGTTACACTGACCACTGCTCATAAAGGTTGTCGGGACAAAAGCTGCGTAGGAAATCTTGGGGCCAGTTGAAGCACAGTCGTCAAATCACAGTTTCTATAGGCGCAATCATACTGATGGCCAGACAAAGGAGACGACGACAGCTGCCAATTCACAAAATGGTGACACCACGACTTTTGACGATTGCAGGGACGAGCACTGCCACTGTTGCAAGAAATCTGTAGTCGATAGCCTTGCAGTGGCAGTCGCGGCAAGTCTCGGCGCGACAAGTCACGTTGGCAGCTCTAGAACGACAGGAGCATTACGGGTAGCTATCGAAATCACAGAACCTGGCAACATTGAACAGGCAACCGTGGCAGGTGCTACGGAACAACCAGGCTCGGCAGAGATTCTGAAGCTAACACCCGCAGCTTCGATCCTGCTTTGGGAGGCAGCTTCCGGAGGACAAGCCGTCAGCCCATGGCCGGTTTCGGCTGCGCGGTGCTGGGGATCCTTACCCTATCCGTCCGCACCATTCCTGGCTGAAAGGTTAAGGGACCAAACAACTTCAGGTTGTTTGCTAATGCTGCGCCATGCTGTCCGCCGGTGGTGCGCAGTACCGTCTGGGAAGATGTCGCATGACAGGCATACGAGCACTAATGACATGCATGGCGAACCTTGCAGTAATAAGGCTCTGAGCCCTGCAGCTGCGACGGTAAGTTCTAGTTTCCGGAATCCCAAGCTAGTCCTTGCTGCCGCCCCAGCCTAGCTCTCCATCCCTGCTTCGACTACCCTTTAGGGGTCTCGAGATCAGGATGGTATGGGGCTGCTCCTGGGAGGGTCGGGGGACATACTAAGAGTTATCTCATGGAGTTATACGCACCACAACCCCAATTAGGATCCCGTGTAGGCTACTCACCACTCTACGTATTCCGTACTTACTAAGTGCCCCTTCTCTCCAAGTAGTGTGGGCTTTGAATCTCTTCGGGGATTTCAAATGCTCTGGAACCTACAGGAGCTTCCGCAATGGCTTTCTGGTTCGGATCCTTTGTCCTGACTGGTGGAGCCAAAGGAAGCGCGAGGCCTACTTGTAGAGGACCTCGCTCTGTACAGGTCAAAAGTACGTCGTCATTGTCACGGCTAGCACCTTGCACGTTGGTAGTGCCATATTGACGAACAGTGAAACTTATTACCGTATCATCACTGTCCTTATTTGTGTAGTCGTCTGTCTCTGTTTCACTGCCATCATGAACATTGATACTGCTCTTATTGTTCTCGCAGGCAAAGCAATACAACCGCATGTCCGTTTAATCAAATGACAGTCAGACCTTTTTGGCCATTGGGCTTACTGCAGATTTTCTGAAGCATGCTTCATGTGCTCCGTTGAATTCTGGGGGGTCATTGCACGAACTCCGATGATCGCAGGGACTTCTTTGCACGTTTTTGCAGCACTTGCTCCATGGGCTCAAACTCGCGGGCGCTTTCCTGGAACACTTCCTTGGCCCTCTTCTCAAGCCAGGTCACCATTGTGCCTGAGCCGTGGCCATAGCCGAATGGCAACACCCTCAAATCTCTCGTCTGCATCTTAGGAGGCGGGCCGAACGCGGGCGGATACTGCGGCCGACCCTGCGCCAGGTCCTCCTGGATTTTGCCATAAATCCACATGGACAGCGAGCTTGAGCCGTGCCCGTAACCACCAGCCAAAGGGACGTAGTCCATGGTCATAATCATCGGTGGAGAACCCCAGGACTCTGGGAACTCAGGCAGGGCCTCTGCTCCCCAAGCGATGAGCACCAAGAGGAGGGACCGCATGGCCTTCGTGGAAACGAGAAACGTCCTAAGCAAAGCTCCCGAAAGCTAACGGCTGCGGCTGGCAGGCAGTGGGTCTTCCGCAGATCTGGAGCTGGTATAAATGTGTGTAACGGCATAGAGAACACCCATCTGTAGAAGTTTGCATATACATATGTATGTATATACCCATATAATCATGCTATATTCATATATATATATATATATATGTACACATATATCTGTATATATATATATATATGTATGTAAGATATGAGCACACAGATTATTATTGTTGCTCTTTGCTGTGATTGTTGCGTGTTTTGTGGTACTTATCATCACTATCAGTATGGCTGTCACAGTTGTTGACTATAAGTCCTTGTACCTACTACGATGTCGGGCGTCGCAGCTCGCTGTGCAAGGGAGTTGCCTGCCCTGGACCCTGGACATGACCAGGTGTCTGGATGTTACGCGTCGGATCGCACTTCAACAGATGTTCCCACCGGGTACTACGGCTCAGAGATCCTCTCAAGATCTCTGGAGTGAAACTTCAGGAGCTGCACTAGTCTTTAGATGCAGCTCGAATCGATGCGAGGTCATTAGCTTAGCTTGCCAGCCACCAGCCTGAGAAGGCAGCACAGTCACAGTGTGATCATCCTAGGTTTCCGAGCTTACAGTAGCCCTGTAGTGAAGTTAGTCATTGGTTCTTTTCCGCCCCTGCATGCAATTAGAGTTGCATTGCTGCAAGGTAACCTGATAAAGACAGCCTTGTAGTGTACTTAATATGCCCTTATAACAACAACATTGTGGTAACCTTTTAGTATCTTTATCTATAGCAACCTGAGTATTGATCTTGGGGCCTTTTATATTTTATATTGTTCGTAAGCTATTTCAGAAGCTGATGCCAATAGGTGCCCCACGCATCCATCCAGGCTGCGTCCACGAACTCGTCCTGGATTTTGCCGGACCTTAGTAGTGCACTGCACTGCACTGTACTCTGCTCTACAATACTGTTCATGATTTCATTATTGCTCTTGAAAGCCTTTTTTCGAATTGCAGGGTTGGAGCGCCACCCCCCAAGGCTCAAACGGACCCGCCCAGGCAGGCAGCTCGTCCACCTGCGTCTGTCAGGGTTTTGTTGGCGTCCGAGCACGTAGAATCGGGCTTGGATGGATGTTATGCTCAACTTGTACAGCGCAACACAAAAGCACGGGCCTATGTACTTGTAAGCCTGCTGTATCACATTCATTCCGTTCATTCTTCGGTTTCATGCCCTTGCCAGTACTATTTTGGGGGTTCCTTATTTTTTATGGGCCCCAAAACCCTAGTCTAATTATGAGGGCCCCTTAATTTGGATTGTTTGGGCCTCCGAGCCGAGGATGTCAGAACCCTCGGGGTACATTATACTATAATTCTATTGTAACTATACTACCGTTACAATAAGGACCCCCCCAAAACCGTATTCTAATTATTAAGGCCCCGTGGCCGTCTCCTAAACTCTGAGCACTAAATCACACTGAATTGAAAACATCCTTCCCGAACAAAATATTCGCTGAAGGTTGAACCGGAACCACCACCTCAGCCCACCAAAACAACCGGTGAGGGTTTCATTTGTTCGCAGAAAGGTACTCTTTGGTCAAGAACATCATTGGTCATTGACTGACCGACCGCCGGTAGGGTTGGAAGCATTTGTGTCCGAGGCACTCCATCGCAACATCGCACTTTGCTATACTATGCATGCTATGCTTGATTTATACCTTACGATCAGCTGAACTTGACTACCATGATTATGGGCACGGACACTTGAGTCTAAAGTGATTACACTAGTGTCCATAGTTGTCAGCATCAGAATAACCATTATTGCCATCGCGGTACTGCGGTCATGCCTAGTTTGACTTGGAGGGTCAGGGGCGTAAGGGGTGTTCCAATGGAACCATGCCTGAAATGACGATGGTCGCGAGCAGATTTTCCTACTTCCTATACCCAAAAAGCCCAGGAGGCCTCCATCCCCAGTTGAGGCTCGGATCCTGCCTGGCGGAGATCTTTCGTGGGCAAAAAACAGGGAGATGCCTTAAATATTAGAGAAGGGTCCCCTTAAAGGGTCCTAAAATGGGGGTCTTTAAGAGTTCCCTTAAAGGGTTCTTACAAAGGAGGTCAAGGGCCTTAATGATCAGAGGAGGGTTTCCTTAAAGGGTTCTTTTAAAGGTGTATAAGTCTGTAGAGGGGCCTGAGTAACTTAAATAGGGTTCTTCTGCGCAGATCAAAGTATAAGTATATTGAGGAAGGCGACGGAGTTTCGGCTTTTGACAGACCACTCAACCAGTCTTTCCCGGTGCCTCCGTCTCTATGCACCCGACATTTCTAACGGTGCCCTGCATCTCTGCATACCAGGCAGGGGAGGGTCCAACAATCACTCGAGACGCAATCAAGAAAGAAGAACGGCCTCAGGATGGACGACTCCAACTAATTCCCCCGCCCCGGCTCCCGATGTGCCTTGACACTAAAGGGAGCCATCGGCTGAGCAGAATCCGGCGGTTTGGCCTCGACAAACACACTTCTTCCTTGGGTCAAGCTTCAGGCTTTTGGGTCCCTGCTCAGTTGGGCTTCTCTCCAAGAGTCGCCATCTCTTTGTCTCCCTGTCTGGTTTTGTTCCCCTGCTTCTCAGACTCCTGTGGGATCGCCCATGATAAAGATACTCGGAAAAATCTCTGTGGGCAAGCCCTGCTGTTGTCACACTGTGCATGTCTGCAACCTCGGGTTGAAGCACCATGGCACATGAAGCCAACGCACTCGCTGTCAAATCGACCCGGCAACAGTCGCTCCCAACGAAGACATTACAAAGAAACTCTACATCACTCCATCTCTCCTGAACCAACAGCAGCAAGCCACGATCGCGTTTTGTGCGTTACATTGTGAACTGCGGCGGAGCTTTGATCGCTGATCTACGGGCGATGTGGAGTGAGCTGACAAGCAGTGTGAGCCGGAATCTGCTGGTCTAACGTGCCTTTCCACTTCGCACCCTCAGCGACATGCGACGTGCGTTGTCGCCATGCTGATTCTGCCGGATGGCCGGGACAAAGTGGCACTTAAAAGGACTGCAAGAACCAGAGCTCTGTGGGTTCAAGTTCCAGCTTTCCCCATCCGTAATGGGTATACTCATACTTCGGCCAGGGCAGGTCCCTCTCCGCAAGTTATCGAATCTGAAGATCTTCACTTGCTCTTGAAGAGCAAGTGAAGCATCTTCGGATTACCAGTGCCAAACCAACTCTCTCTCAAACAGTTGCAGTTTGGGTGTCTGAGAGACGGACACGTCCGTTCTAGGCCCCCTAAGACAGACGTTTCAGTCTCTCAGACACCCAGGTCTTTGAGCAACATGCCCAGATCCATTTCGTAGCTCTCGGCTTCTGCAGCCGCCACTTCTGCTTCCGCTAGCGCAAGCTCTGCCTTGCGCTCTGCCTCTTCAGCCATCTTCTCAATATGGTCGCCCACGTGCAAGTCGGCAGAGATGTTTTCGTCGTAATCCATCACGCCCTCATCATTCTCTGCAAGAGAAGCGTCCTCCATGGCAGCAGTAAGAGCAACCCAAAACTAAAACCAGTAACGTGACAACGCACTGTCCCCCACCCCCTCGTCCCCTGAAACCGCTACCCACCGCGAATACCGCAGCTTGCTCGGTCGGCAACCGCGTGCTGAGCAGCGTTTCTGTCCTCCGACTTTCAGTTGCGATGGCCCGGCCCTTCCACTTCCGCTCGTGCCGGAGGATACTGATGGACGAGGCGTCAGGCTGGGCTGCTCCTCGGCGGCCGCCATTCGCAATGCTGATCCTCGGGTCGGGCCGGGTGGAGCCTCCGATGCCATCGGAGGCACTAGGAAGGCTCCGTTCAGCATCCGGCCAGACACCAGCATCAGGATTGCGCACGGCGCTTCGTTGCAGCCGCCATCTCACATTCTCTAGCGCAAGCTAGTGCCCAGCCTGCACTGGTCCTCGGCGGCCTCAAGGAGAGCACTTGCACGAAGCGCCGTGCGCCATGCTGAAGTCGGGGCTCTTTGGAAAGGCTTCAGGCGAATCTCAAGCACTCGAGCCACAATGGCACATCAGGAGGATCGATTGAAGCACCACGGTCTTCCACTGCACCATTTTCATATTGGGGAATGCAACAGAATGCTAAACCCAGGCGGGGGCTTACGGCGTACGGCCAGAAGTCTGATACCCTGAAACTATGGACTAGACGCCCGAGTATAGCTTTTACGATCGTCCCTCAGACGGCCCATCTCAGTCCACGGCGAAAACAGACAGAAAGCCTGCCCAAAGTACAGCAGGAGGCGGCCTGGTCAACGCAAAGCATGTATGTGAGCAGAAAGTACAACTCCTGCATGTTTGGGTACACGTATGCAACCTATGGAAAAGATAAGATACCAATATAGAGCACAATACCCTTATATATCTTATGAGCATCTCAAACAGTGTACACTGTACACAATGGCGTGATACACTGTAGCATCATCCTTCCTATATACTGCAATATATTCCAAAGTCGAGGACATGGATGTTCAATCCAGGCTCTCAGCTGTGCGTCCAGCGATTGGGTTCGTGCGTATGTGTCCTTGCCCCGCACCACCAACAAAGCATGGCTGAGCACTCGGAACATGACGTTCGTGGTGCTGCTCCTAGTCCTTTGAACCAGAACTATCCTGATGCTTATTGAAACATGGTTCTGCCACCTAATGGATCCCTTTTTATGCTGCCCGTCCATGCTTGACAGAAACGACAGCATGCAGCAAGTGGCGATTGTCTTGTTGTAGGGAAACTAGTCTAAACGGTTTCCACCCCAGAGGCAAAGGCATATGCCTGAAAAGGCGAACATACAAATGCTAAGCCCCGAAGCCCGGCTAGCTTGACAAGTCCGACAGCCTAAACTCCCAGGAACCCTAAACCTTGGTGGAATCCGAAACACAAACTACCCGGCCGCCCTTTCGTCCTTCAAACCCGAAGTTTGATGTGAACTAGCCTCGACTCGACATGG